TCCTCCTCCCTCCCTCCCCTTCTCTCCCCCTCCCTTCCTTCCTTCCTTCCTTCCTTCCTTCCTTCCTTCCTTCTTCCTTCCTTCCTTCCTTCCTTCCTTCCTTCTCCCTTTCCTTTCCCTTTTCTCTTCTCCTCCCCCTCCCTCTCCTCTTTAACTGGCAACTTCCCCCTCAGCTTAAAGTCTCTTTCATCCTGATTAAAAAACAAACACAAACCAAAATAACAAAACAAACAACACAAACAAAATAACAAACCAAATAGCATACCCTGAAGCTATTCTCCCCATCCAAAACTATCCCTTATATGCTTGGCCATTTCTTGCCTTTCTATATGTCATTCTTCCAGCATTCTCTCTGCCTGCCAGGACCCTCCAGGCTGGGTTGGGGCCTCTCTCTGGAATTGTTTTGGGATATTGTGCCCACTTCTACCACAATACTCCCTTCACTCTACTTGAGTACTAGCCAGAGAGACCTTCCATGTATGGAATGTGCCATGTCCACTGTATCGTCATTACCTGGCACAGTGCCTGGCACATGGGAGAGGATCAATACGTGTTGAATAAATGTTCTCATACAAAGATCTACCAAAATGACTCTGCTCCATTCACATTGCCTCTTTTTATTGCTTTAATATAATTTGATTATTTTTGACCCAACATATTGCTACTCCCTGCCAGGACAATATTGTTGCCATCTGCTTTACTAAGCTTCTGCAAAGATCTTAGACAGTTCTTTGTAGTTCACAGAGTTCTCTTGGTGGAAGTCAGCTGGCCAACAAAACATCATTTATTCACTCAACATGTTCTCCTCCAACGATTTCTACACTTATGAAGTTGTAGACTGGTAAAATTCCAAACTATATGGGCACAGGATTGGATTACTAATTTTTAAAAAAAGTATATATTGATGAGAGAAAGAGAGACAGGAACATAGATTTGTTGTTCCACTTATTTATCCATTCACTGGTTGACTCTTGTATTTTCCCTGACCGGGGAATCAAACTCGCAATCTTGATGTATCAGGATGATGCTCTAACCAACTGAACCACACGGCCAGGGCTGTATTGATAATTTTTATTATCTTAAGTAAATGCATAGTCCACTTCACCCTAATTAACTTCGATTATTACCATAATTTCATAAAGGTGAGGATACTTTAATAACAACAAAAAAGTAAGCAGGGCAGAATAAAGGGCAGAATAATACAGTATTAAGCTGAATACATGTAATATTATACAAATCTCAGTGCATTGCTGTGTTAGTCTGCTTGGGCTGCCATAACAGCATACCAGACTGCTGCAGGCCATTGGAAATTTCATCCTGGATTGGCTCCAATCTGCAGGTCAGGATTTGAGAAACACAGTTCTAAATATTGTAAATATCACATATGCAGCCTCTAAAAAATTACCTATTTTATTTATTTATTGGTTTAGGTCTTGTTGATGTACTTGGTAACATAGTATTTAAATTTTGGTCCTGCCGAAACCGGTTTGGCTCAGTGGATAGAGCGTCGGCCTGCGGACTGAAGGGTCCCAGGTTTGATTCCGGTCAAGGGCATGTACCTGGTGCGACACATCCCCAGTAGAGAGAGCAGCTGATCGATGTTT